ATTTTAATTTCCTCTTTTAGTGTAGCTCGTCAAAGCTCGATGTGAGACAAAGAAATTTTCAAGCTTACCTAATACCTATTTAACAATCCGCAAAACCGGTTTTAATATCTTCTTTTGCATAAGTGTGTATATCAAATTCAAACCAATCAAGCCAAAACAAATTGATAGCTTACCCTTAATTAAGATTTTGTTGGGAATTTTGTGTTGTAACATTACCTAGAAGTGATGCAACTATTAGCCGGGTATGTCTTTCTAGCATGTTTATTGGTAGGATATTCACGTAATTAGGCTTGGCTAGGGAGGCTGAAATCCTATCGTTCAGGACCTAGACCTGTCCATTGGAGATGGTCTTAGGTCTATACGCCGAGCTACCTGCTTCTCATTCATTTGATATGAGTAGGATATGACATAATTAAGAACAAACATGAGTGTTAAAGAAAACTTCAATGAATCAAGTTATGCAGTACGAATATTAATCCATGTATGATAACAGAATTGATACCTCTCCTAAAAGGGGGACATATATGTGTGTTTGACCAGATCTATTTGTATGATTGAGAACAAAAGAACAAAATTCATTTTACACATGTTTGTGAGATGCTAGTTTGCATAAAAGTAAGAGAATACACACCATTCAACCATATATTATTGACGCTTAAACTTCACCATACAATATTGAAAAAGGCTTTTTAAGTAAAATGATTGCTGAGATCGACCTAACTCATCAGTTTGATCACTATAACATTTATCGACTTTTATGTCATGGACTAAACTGAGGAGTTAAGTCAAATCTCATAGATAATTTTGGTTAAAACGCATATTGAAAATAAGAAGCATATTTGAGAGCCTTCATTTTCCGCAACTCCCTTAGCATTTTATTTGATTGCCACTTGATATTTGAGACAGTGCATTATATGATGAACAACCTACGCTCAATCCTTTGGCAGCGTTTAATTTAAGCTCTTTAACCCTACCTCTTATTGCCTGACCATTTTTGTCCACCATGATCTTTCTCATCATTTCCTCTATCTCTTCTCTCCCAACCACAGTCTTCAATGGTAGCACTTTTGATCTGACACAACACCAAGTTCCCCTGTCAAAATTTTAGCCTTCATCCTCTGCTCTGCATGGAGTGGCCAAACGATCATCGGCACTTCATTGGTGATGCTCTCGAGGCTTGAGTTCCGTTCACAATATGATCAAAATCCTCCTATTGATGGATGACTTAAAATGTCTACTTGAGGGGCCCAAAGAGGCATAACCAACCCAACGTCACGGATCCGGGTCAAAAATCCTTTTGGTAAATAGGTTGATGGGTCATCATCTCCATTTCCTTAAATAAAGGTACTAAATGTAAATAAAAATATCAAATATAACACAATATCGATAATGCTAAAATATTGTAAATCAGTACATTACACTAATAAGATTTTTTTCTCTAAAGATAACAATTAAAATTTAGTGATATATATTAGGTAAGTTTGAGAATTACCTAAAGTGTAAAAAAACAGCATCTGCGGATTTAGATGGTGGTCGTACAACCCAAATGAATCTTTGTTGACTCAACTCCAACCCCCAAGCCATTTCTATCATCTGCTCAAAGGACATGGTCCCCCCACTCAGTGGCGAAGCTACATAAGGGTAAGGAATGACGTCCGCTCCTCCACTCGTCGTAAATTAAGACCAAGAGCGGTGATTCCGCCCCCCTGGTCCCATTGGAAGTGATGATGTACGTTTGTGTTTTCTGGGTTCATTGCTGTTGTGCAGCTTTGCTGCACGCAAGTTCCTGTTTTTTTTTTTTTTTTTTTTTTGTGTAAAAACTAGGCCAAAAAAACGTCGTTTAGGTACTGGTAAAAAATTAAAAAACTCCCTTCAGTGGGATGACATCGTTTGGGTTATTGAGTTAAAAAAATAATAATAATTAAAGGAGACCACTCGTCCCTCATTGCCTTCACTATCCCAGACCCCTTACCTTCCGACTTTCAAACCAACTGGAGAGTAGTAGCTCCCTAAATCCCAGCCGCAACATCCTGTTAGCCTTCCTTGCTTCAAAAGTTCAAGCTGACCTCCCTGCTGCCAACTTCCAAGCGTCATCCTTTGGTTTGGTTGGCAACTTCTCTCCAAATTTTTAGATGAAATCTTTCATTTTCAAATTTATATTATCCCTAACCCTAATTCATTATTTAATACAACATGTTGTTTAATTTATATAGAATCATAGAGTAATTGATCAACATTGTTAATGACTATATATTATGATTATTGATAAGAAATTCTATAATTATTGATGGATGAAATTGTTATTTAGGGTAAAAATTGAATTTTTGATTATAGATTAATTGATTATTGATATTGATTAATTGAATTTTTGTTTGTTGAATAATTTATATGATTATTGGTATTGATTGGTTTAATTAGTTATTTGTCATATACTCATATGGTATATTCTACTCTAAGATTAAGAATCTAAGATTTTTTTCTTCTTCTCATTATACAATTAATTAATATAAAGATACTATAAAGAGCCTATTATGCAAAGTTTTCATGGTATGAAACGTTGTCGGCAACTATTATAATGTGTTTGTATTCATAAACCATGGAAGATATTACTATAAAAGGATTTGATTGTTGTGATTTTTTTGAATCTTGCACCCTTTAAGTTCCCCCCCTCACCCCCGACAAATCCTGGCTTCGCCACTGCCCCCACTCTCCCTAATGCCACAAATATCACATATTCACAGGGTTGCTTGTCTAGCCATTTAAACAAGCCCTCCTCCCTTGGACCGGCAACCGGCCAATTGGACCGGCCTCGTCAATGGTCCAATAGGATAAACTGGCACCTTAGCCACTCTACCCAAGAGTGCCTCGTCCCGTAATGCGTGTAATGTTTTGTGCTCCAAGTCCTCCCATGTATTCATCAAAATCCCATCACTCTTCAGCAAATTATAGTACCTATCCTTACGTATACCAAATATTGGTGGTCACTCCGGTCCAGCATCGGGTTAAGCACGTCGTCGTGCTGAACCGGCTTGCAACCCGGAATTCTCAGCGGTTCAGTCTGGTCCGCGTACTCTCCATCCACTTGTTTTATCAAGAACTGGCACGTAGACAGTCAAGGCTACGAGCAATGCACTGCTAGCAATGTAAGACGAAGAGAAGATTCCATTCCAAGTATGGCTGACCGAAACGCAGGTCGTACTTCACGCATCATGACTGCAAGGAGTGCAAAGGCCGTAGCTTCAGGGCCAACACAGCCGGAAATGTCGGGCGGTGGGAGGTCAACAATGTCACAAAACTTGGGGGTGGTGGCTGCCTCGAGGAGCTCAGACTCAACCTTGGAAGTAGGAGATGGGATGGCGAAGATCGTCACGGTGAAGTTTCGGTGGATGACAAGTCTTTTTGCGAGCTCGAGGACGGGGATGAGGTGGCCCAGGCCTGGGCTGCAAAGTATGGCTGCATGTGGCTTTGAGCTCATGGTAGACGGATAGCAATGGCTTTAGCCTTTAGTGCACTGCTTGAGCTTAAATAGGGAAACGAAGTTCACTTGCACCTTGTAAATCAAAACAATCATTGTTATTTTATTTTATTTTATTCGTAAAAATAAATCATTTGTTATTTTATTTTGATGTTTTATACAAGTGACTAGGGGAGGATTCACTCAGGATCCGGGTTCTCCCGAAGAAGCACATGTGAAGAACTTGACCACCCAACCATTTGGGTAGATGGTTAAAGAGAGAAGACTATCAAGACTGTACAAATGTCGTGCAACAAAAGTTTTAGACCAAGAAGAAATATTTAATTTCATACAATGAGAACACATAAAAGACCATCATGACTCTGATGTTCTTAAACCTTGGTTGCAACAAAGAAAAAAAACTTTCTCGCTCCATTTCCCACTGATCAACTCCTCATTTTTCTTTTCTTTTTTTATTTGTTGTCTAATCAGGTTGGGACACCTAATATTAAATTAGTAAAGAGACAGTGTATGCTCAACCAATACTTTTTATACCATATGTTTGACACAAATTTTTTTTTTAAATTCACCATAAATTCATACAACCTACGAAAAATATTTTGCAAAGTACTAGGAACTCGTAATCATTTGAACTTCATCTAATACCATCAAATTCACTAAAATATTAAGCAAAAATTGTGATATTTTTTGTACATTATATGTTAAATAATAAACCCAAATTTTCAATACAAGTATAGTTGTTTTTTTAAGAGTAAATAGACACTTATTTATATGATATATGTAACACCCTGCCCCCGAAATATTTTTTTTCGGGAATAATTTCGTTGGTCGGCCCAATTTTAAATCGTGGTTAATTTATTACCATTAATCACATTTCTTTACTTCAATAATTCATTTTCTTACAAAACTATCCACATTTTTAAATATCAAAACATACAATTGCATTACCAATTTAATTCACTAACATTAATCACTATTCTTTATATAAATTCCTTCATTCCACATATGATTCATAACCATTATTCTCTTATCAACATACAATTACATTTTCCATGAATTTCCATTTTCTTCTCTTAGATCAAATTTCCAACTAAAAATTTATTCTCGATTATTTAACCTTACTTGTTTTATGGCTGCATCTAACTCCTCGTTAGAGTGATCGGTTAGAATTCTATTAGAGTTGGCAAGCAACAGGAATGGATTCTTGCTGTGTGGCTTTGAAAAACACCCATTTGAGAAGACCAAGTGGTTTATGCTAAGGTTGGAAAAAAAATCCCAAACCATACCAAAAAAATCCCGATCCCAAACCAAAATTTTTGAAATTTTCGGTATATCATCCCGAACCAAACCGAAATTTTCGGTATGGGATTCGGTTTTGCATCTCCATATTTTCGGTATTCCCATGCCGAACCAAAAATAAATATTATATATATAATATTTTTTAATTATAAGAAAATTATTTCAACTGTTCATTGTTTTGGATTTAATCTGTACCGTTCATTTGTTTTTAGGTCCAATCTCCCATTTCACTTCTGATCCATTGATTCGATCGAACTTGAAGCGCAGCCTTCCTCACCGAGCCCTCATCTCATCTCTGTGTCGAATTCCGGCCAGCCACCGGCCCACCACCACACCATACTATCTCCTCTGACTCTCCAACCTTCCTTCACCACACAGCCACCGCCACGCCACCGCTCTCTCTCTCGCGATCTCTCTCTCTCGGGTGATTTGCTCTCACATCACATAACTCTCGATCCAGCACCAGCATCAAATAGTGCAGCTACAGGTAATGCTACCCATTCTTTTTGTTACTTGACCACTAAGAAATTTTATGAGAATCGGATTTCCATATTTTTGTTTTGGCTATAGAATCTTAGATACATGATCTTGTTTTAATGTTTGATGGCAAATCAAGTTTTGTAATTCTGTTTTCTTTGCAGTTCTATATTTATTTTTTGGGCTGAGGTTACTTTACATTGCTTGGAGATCATCAGATTCTAAATCTTCCCAGAAGAAAGAAATTGAAGAAGTAAGTTTATTATATGTTTTCACTTTTTAGCCTTTATTTGATTTGTATTTATTTATGATCTCTAGATAGATGGATGGTAAACTAACAATGCTTGGTGCCTGTACTACCCAGTTTATGGATCATAATAATCAACTTTAGTTCGGATAAAGCAATATTTAAAATTTTTGAAGACTTGCTTTGATGCTTTTGAATGAACATGTGAATGAGGGAGGTCTTCAAAACCTCCGAAAACAACCTCATCTGTATAGTGATAAAGATTGCAAAACAACTTTACCTTAACTGTGCAACTGATAAAGTAAGATGATGACATTGAGTTAACTGGTGTCATATGTTTAAAACTTTCCAGGCTCATTGGTTTTCCCTTGAGTTAGCCATGAAAGTACTAGGCATTTACGAGAAGTGGGGATAATCTCAGAATTCAGAGTTGTTCTGAATTGACTGCCTGCATTATTCCTGATGTCTGATCACTTTTTATATCCTTTTGTCTTCATCGCGTTTATGAGCTTACAACATGAATTTTGTCCCTTTGCCAGTCTATTTTGTTATTTTTGCTGTCTAAATTTGTTTCCATGGTGTTGTAACTTGTAACTAAAAGGTTCAGATACTGCAAAAGTGTGATTTCTTATTATCGATGTGATCAAGATTTAAGTTGTTCTGTGTGTCAATTAGGTACTTTCCACTGGACTTGGTAGGATTGTGTCAAACTTGATATCACGGAAGCATACGAATAGTGCAGCTACATTAGCTACCAATTCTTTTTGTTACTTGACCACTAAGAAATTTTATGAGAATTGGATTTCCATATATTTGTTTTGGCTATAGAATCTTAGATACATGGTCTTGCTTTAATGTTTGATAGCAAATCAAGTTTTGTGGTTCTGTTTTTGTTTCTCATACCATATGACTCTCTAATTGTAAACTACTGGATGGCTACATATGTGTACATGTGAAATGTATACTTTCACAACAGTAAACACAAAAGAAAGTAAGCAAGGAAGTGTTAGACTATGATGAACTGTCATTCTGTAGGATTTATTATAGACACCATTAGTAGAATCATAGATCAGATTATTGAGGTATCACATTTTATGCTGTACACAAGGTCAGGGAGACCATGCTATAAACTAGGACTAGACAGCATAATATGTCAAATTTTAGTCCAAAAGCCCAAAACCATTTCGGGATTCTCGATTTGTCCCGAAATCCTGAAACTATTTTGGGATTCCCGAAAATTGGGATTCCTGAAAATTTGGTTTGGGATCGGTATTGAAATTGGGATTCCCGAAAATTTCGGTTTGGGAATCGGGACAAGGGTTTCTGTATGGGATCCCATACCGAACCACCCCTAGTTTCTGCAGTGGTGATTCTGGGTTTTTGGGGGAAAGGGTTAGAGGGAGTTTCAATAACAAGCTTTGGGCTAATCAGTTGAGAACTGACAAGAGGAAGGTGATACCTGGAGCTGTTCTTGTTGTTCTTACCTCAAAAGATGCCGAGGCTGTCGTAAGTTAATCCTTTCTTATGTTCGATTGCCCATTTGATAATTATTTAGATGAATAAGTAATTTGTATGATCATTGCTATTTGTGTATGTTAATATTTGTTATTTCGTTAACTTTATATGTATGATGAATTATGAAAAATATTTTCTTAATCATGGGTTCGGTCTCAGACTCTGCAAATGCCATCGTTACCTAGGCGGAGAGTAGACCTGAAAAATGTAGCTTCGATTATATTAAGACGAGGAAGAAGAAGTTGCACATGTCAAAGTACAATTTTACTCATGTATTAACAGATAGTTAACGAAAAAATCATTTTTGGACTAAATTTGCTAATGGAGTACACCACAAGGGTTTAAATCCGAGTTTTTTTAGCATATGGGTTATCTTCCAAATACGTTATGACCACATAAATCATTTATCCAATTTGGCCAAGATGATATATATTAACTGACAAAGAAAGCAGTAAGTCTCCAGACTATTTTATCTTTATTTGGTGAGGGTGACAATACTTTTCTGGATGCTGTTCATTTCCAATTATTTCAAGAGGCATTCATATGAAATGCTACAAGTGTGCGACCAAAAGGATCGGCATGAGAGAAAGATTACAATAAACGATGACAATCAGATAAATGATTTTATTCTAGTTAATATCATTTCACGTTTTGTTTTAATTTCTTACGTATTAGTAAACATAGAAGATATCCACAATGTTCTTCTCTTAATTAACTCTCTTCTGTTTACCACCCAAATCCTAGAGGCTTAATGATGATATCAATCATTTGATAATCAAACAGATTCCCCACCAACCCTTTGATCTAACTGATGAATTATCATTCAAAACCAGAAAGCAACCACGCAAAGAAAAATCCCAGAATTAGTGTACGAAGGTTTTACGCCAATCGGTCACAACATGCATGATTCACGTTTTGAAGAGAAACGTTGGTTTTTATTTGGTTAGAAGTTGATTCTGTTTTGTTCTCGACTTCTTGCACTAGCTCTCCTCAATTAGTTCCTTGGCAATTGAGGGTGGAGTGGAGAAATTGCTTGTATGGAATTTCCCAATATATTTTTTATCTTCTAACATTTGTAGAGAAGGTAATCAAGTCGATGATACCCTTACAAATCATGGTTCCTCTTTTATTTGTCTTGTTTGGAGGATTCTCCTCCTAATTTTATATTGCCATATTACCAACGTGATTCTGTAGGGCTTCCACACTATCGTTTTAGATAGGTTTCTTTTGTTAGCCTTGTCATATCTTGTATTGATTGTTGGAGGGTTCGTTTGTTACATCTATTGTCGTTGTTAGAATTAGACTTTATATCCCCCTTTATGTTTGTAATTTTCTTAATCTTTAATAACTCTACCTCTTTGTCATTTCCCATAATAGCAATGTTGGAGTAACGAGTGTAATCATGTGTATGTTGGTACACTAATGTTTGCAGTATACTAATTTATAGTGTTAATCTAAGTTTACTATTCTAAAATTTCTTAATTTTTAACATTTAATACATCAAGTTTTTTTGTCTTTGATTGATACCTAAAATCATAATTTTGGAACACTTTGATATATCCGTTAAGTTTTCAGATAGAGTTTCTGTTAGCTAATGATGTGGCATCCATATGGACAATAACTGGACGCCACGTGTCAATATGGTCCACGTGAATATTAAAAATTTTAAAAAGAAAAAAAAATAGTCTGATGACTCTCTTTTGGAGCTCCGACTATGGAGCTAGCTCTGCAGATGTCCGCAACCTTCCCAAAAAAAACCACCTCACCCATTACCGCCACTTCAAATTTCTCACAACCCAAAACCACTACACCTCTCTCTTCCCCCATTTCTCTAAAAACCCACAACGGCCAGAACAACCATTAATAGGCCCACTAAATTTCTTCATCTTCTTCTTCCTCCTATCTTTCAAATTTGGGGTTTTTTTTTTCCATTTTCAAATTTAGGGTTTTCTGGGGGCGGGTTTAATAAGTTTGGATGGTTGAAATTGATTGAATTTGGGGATGGAAGTCGAAGATGGGAGATTTTTGGAATGGAGGCAGAGAGAGGGAGGGCTTTGAAAAATTGGGATCTGGGGTGAAAGGGTTAGAAGAAACCCCAGAGAGGTGAGAGGCTTTGAAAAATTTGGAGGCTGGGGGTGAGAGTCTTCGAGACTTTTCAGGTTTTATTTTTTAATTTTTAAAATTGATGTAGGGCTATATTGACAAGTGATATTCAGTTGCCAAGTATTGTTTGAAGAAGAAAGGAAGAAGGAGAAAAGGAATAAGAAAAGAATAAAAGTAGAGAAACAAAAAGTAAAAAAAAAAACAAAATTATTAATAGATTTCAAGGAAACTGAAATCGACAAAGAAAAAGAAAAACCCACCTCTTTTACCGTCTTTCCCTCTCCCTCCAATGGTTTCCAACCTCCTCAAAGTTCACAAACAACGAATTGTCTAAACTCTATAGGAACCATCAACCTCAAATGAAATCTAGTGAAAGAAATAAAAGAAAAGAGGTCGCATTGGGGCCCAAAGCCCCAAGGAAAAACCTTCGAAATCATAGGCATATAATACTGGACAAGGATTGTCTGTCCTCCCGTGCCCTCCTGTTTGTGTGGTCACAGTTAAGCCACGTCAACATTTTATATTACTATTCATTTTTGTATTATTATCTCTATAAAAAAATATATAAAATGTTGACGTGGCTTAACCGTGACCACACAAAACAAAAAAGTATGGGAGAGCACTAGAAGTGGGAGGGCATACAATTCTTGTCTTATAATACTAACTTTTCAGCGTGAAAATTCAGTTAGGATGGCCCGGGACCATCCTGGTCCGCTCGGCCTCACATCATTTCTATGCTGCGTTACATGTTTTTGAGTGTTTTATTTTTGTTGCAATTTTGACAAGCAGTCAAGCACCCCAAGAGCCTTGCGAGAGTAGATTGTACAGTATCTACAGTCAACTTACCAATACAAACTGTCATGTATGGAATATAATTATAGAAACCATGCTCTAACAGCAGTCACAAATCTGGAAAATAAATGATGCGTGGATTTGTAGCAAATGTTACACCACCTGTGATTATACAAAGGTATCTCTACTAAGGGGGTGGGAGAGTGCGCTAACCCTCACACTTCCAAGTAAAGAACAATACTATTAAACCGTAGTACTATGTGGCAGCTGATCCATTTTTTTGAAAAAGAAGAATCAATTGAATATATTAAAAGGATTATCAATTAATTTGCAAGAGACGAAGCGTTTTCCCTGTAGAAGAAAATCAAGCGAATCAAGGTTTTCTGAACCACCAAGACACACAATCATATTTAGAGGACTATTTGGAACTTGGGGGCAATCCGGTCAAAAGGGGAGATCCATCCACCAATAATTGGGGAAGCAGCAAAGTTATTGAATTGGTTGGTACACTGACTTAGACATCAAGCGTGGCTTAGGTCACATGGACTTCCACAAGATACATATTATCACATGCCAAAGGGTCCCTCTTGGAGGTTTCCCTTCTGTGAGAGATGCTTTTGACCCACACAACTCACAAGAACAAGGCAACAAAACACTACATGACTACAGACACAAGAAACTCATCACTCACTCCATCACTTTGCTGCTTTGCATATAAATGGATAAGAACTCGAAACCCTAATCGGCACGGAAGGACATGGAACTACTGCTTCAAACATTCAAACTTACTGCATCTCTCATGCATCCTGATCATCCCACCCTTCTGTCCTTCCCAGTTTATGATTGTGTTCATGAAATCACAGCTGATAATTCACTAAGCATGCGATGAAGAATTAGATACTTTGTCTAAGGTGTGTAGGTTGGGCTTAACAAAAGTGATGCACACTTACCATAAGAATATGTAAAACATGGACTTCGCATAATGAATTTGACTGATTATGAAAATCTTGCTAATATTATACAACACTAGAATTAAGGTAAATGGGAAAGATAGAGAAGTGTTGCTCACTAAGCAAAGATAGATTTGAGCTCTAAAATAATTTTGCATCTCAAGACTACTTCCAATAAATTTGAGCATGGTAGTGTGTCCGAAATATCCGCGAGAGTCATACAAATGATACTCGCGCGAGATCTAGGACTCGCGATTGCGAGTCTTCTGTGTATGTGTGGAAAGTGCTGTTTTGATTACTTAATTTCTCTACTGCTCGAATGAGCTTACTAAACACCTCATAGAGCAAAGGACGTTTCTATCTCAAGCTGAAGAATCTCGACAAGAATACTTCAAAAACATATCGTATGTGTGCCGTCATACCCACTCTCCCTCCATTTCTTCCTCAGTTCTTGCGCTTAGATTCATGCGTTCCCTCAACTATCGGAGTGTGAGAGATGTTGTACATACGCGCTCTCAAGAATTGCCGCCCCAACCTTGGGCGCTCCGCTCATTCTTCTAATTAGTAACATATTGCTAATTAATCTTGGCTTACGTGTTTATAAAACCAACAACATCAATACCAATAGTGATAAGTTTGACTCTCAATGATAATATGCTCACAAGAGCAGAGTAAGTCTATGTAAAGTTTTTTGATTTATAATATTATATATTGACAAATCTGCGAGATATGAGGGACTATTCAGATTGTTCCACCAATGTCAGCATGTCTCTCAAGTAGACACCTAGCTCTCGATTGTCTCCATTTACCTCAGCCTGTTCCCAAATGACACGCCAAATTTACCATTTGAGAAATCGGTTCATCAACTATACACTCTCTCACACTATTCCCCTACTTTGATTTTATAAATTACTCAACGTCGTACAGCCATCTCGAGTGATTCATTTATGGTCCCTCTCTCCTCCAATTTTCTCAAGTGTAGAGTAGACTCCCAGAATTACATCCTCGACAATTCTCTAACCTACAAATGTAACTCTCTGCATCACCCTCTCTAATGCTACATCATAGGCGGCCCCTCTCGAGATAACTTCATCAACTACCTCTGATGACTTCGTTCCTCTCTCATCATGCAGTGCTTCCTTCAACTCCTCATGATCTCTTTATCTTATTGTGCATATCAAATCTGACAGTATACTGAAGAACATAATACTTGAGCTCAGCCACTTGATTTCTTATGAAGATTCTACATGCTGGCGAGAGGCATGTGTGAAGGAGCCATATACTGCAGCGTCGGCCACACCTGCGTCTTGAGTAAACAACTGATGCCACCACGACCCAGACGCTCCAACTCAGTGGGAAGCGAGATCAAGATACATACTATTCGCATCTTGCGAGTCCATGGCGATATAGACAAAGTGATAGGGTAGACCACGTAGTAGGGCGTACTGATGATATGAAGTGAAAAAGGTCTTAGACTATGACATAATATGCATGAGTAGGGTATGGCTGGGCAGAGCAGAGGATATAAGCTTTATGCAATCCAATTAGGTAGGCGAGTACAATCCCCAATACACAGTTTTTCTTTCTCTTTGAGACGCTACTAGAGGTTGGAGGAGAAGAAAGTATGTGGAGGAAGGTACAAAGAGCGAAATAGTGAATAATTTCTTATAAAGAAGGGCGGTAACGATATTTTCGTGTGAGAATGTGGTTACTCAGTGAGTTGCTAGGTCAAGAAACGCGATCCAAGGCATACTAATTATGTAGGTTTCGCAAGAGGTGTTTACGCTCCCGTATCGTGTTATAGTGCTCATTAGACTACGGAGAACTGTTGAAATGTGCAGATATAAGATGTCAGTACCTCGTACTGTGACAATGTCAACGAAATGTACATACAGGAGAGCTGAAGCGACCAAAGATATGAAGCTGATTTATTTGTACTATGGTAGTGAAGTGATGTTTTTTAGATAGTGAGAGATGTAAAGATTAACTATCTAAACAGACTCAAATAGGTAATTATAATTGATGGTAGACGACTCCGTAGCAGCTACTTCGAGTGTGCAGATATTCGGCTTTATAGTGACCATCTCTTGCAACACAAAAATAGTCAAAAGACATGTCTTTCTAAGACAGGCGCACCGAAGTACATTTGCTCATGAGACTCCAACCAAAAGTATCTTCCTATAACATATGAGAGTCTAGATAGAGAACTATATACGAAAGTTTAAATACATGCGAACCCATAGCCATACGATGAGATCAGCACATAAATAGTAAGCTTTTACATATATATCATTGGGCTCCTATTTCTGCGATAAAATATATCTCTCATGGTTGAAAATTCTATGTGGATTGTGGCCGGCTGACGTCGTGGACTAAAAAGACTCCTGATTGACCTCCTGAATCCTTTAACATAATACGAAATTTGATAATTCAACTGACATATTACAACTTTTCAGCAAGCGAAGATTGAGACCGACCAGTTATGAAGGAATGCATCACTTATGTATACGACATATGAATACATATCAATTAAAGGTCTATCGACCTGGATTAAAAAATCTACACTTAATCAACAACCATCAAACGCCACCCAAATTATAATCCCATTTTTTAAAATCTCGTAGCAGTGCAGTAGAACTCCTATATTCCGATATGCTATACGATCGATCGTTGACATCAAAAATACGAGTTGGAACACGGAAAAACAGTAGATAATCAACATGTCGTTGTTGCCAAAAAAAATATAATCAATGAAGACCCAGAGAGAGGGTTTTGTTATTTGTAGTACTAGATTAAATCATTGTCGCGTGGCAACATACAGAATCTAAAATTCATTCAAACTCAATTAAGAAGACCGCTATACCGCAACTGCTTTTATTCCGCCATACTGTTACCCGATATATACAAAAAAAGCGGAAACCACAAGATGTGCTCTGTGACTAACCAGTTCTATCTCTCGGAAAGTTTGATCACCGAGAATCTCCTCGAAAATCCAATGCTTACCAGTACCGTCTAACTACTCAATGCATTGAGTCACCTCATTAATACGACAGAGCAATATATACCATATATTGTGGATTCAACAATGAGACCGCAACCGGAGTCCGTCACTATTATAGACTCCAAATCTAGAGCAAACGCTAGTAAGATTCCATATTAAAGTAAATTTATAGCATATAGCTAGAATAGAAATCAAAATAGTGAATAATCACCAAAAGCACAGAAAAAGACAAAAAAAATCCTCAATTAAAAACTAGACAAAGACAACAGAATAATACAGCAGCTTATTAATTGCGTGCAATAAACAGTCAAAATAGTAGAATACCGCGCAAATACCTACGAGTAGGATGGAGCACATCTATCTGCTCTACATAACCTGCACAAAGCTTCAAGCGACAGAAGATCTATTCACCGCACCTCGATTTGTATCAAGCAGTATAGAACTTGAGAGAAAAAATGCAATTAGAATGACGTTCGCGTAGAGCTAACTTCGAGTATCGCGAAGAATTGAGTTCTGATTTCTTGGGACAACAACTTGTGCGCTGCCTTCGGCTCCTCCTTTAAGCTCGTGCTGCACCTGCGGTCCTGTGGTTGTTCTCTCAAATCTCGGCTTCCCACCGTTGTTGCTGTATTTGGCTATATCCTGCCTCCGCACCCGACCCACCGGCGTGTGTGTCATTTTAGGTGCTTTGTCTCCGTGTCGACCAGCAAGGCGTCTTCGCTATTGAGGCGTTGCCTACTACTAGATTCATAATCTTCTCGGTGAGGAGGATTTAAGTAGTCCGATGAAGAAGAGCTGGGGGTGTGTTGTGCGAGCTGTGCTTACAAAGTGCAGGTGCGAAGGGGCATTAGTTGGAAAAGAGACTGATGATAGCCAGTACTTGTTATGGCGCATGTCTCTCGATGCGCTCAAGAGAGGTGCCTCTCAATTCGTGACTTTTCTATAGGTGTACTAATTAATCTCGACGTATTGAACACGAAGCGTAATCTCGCACCTAATTAGATATAAACACAAGGCAAAAAAATATCTACATGAGGACTTATGCGAATCCTTCTCTTGCTCGTTTTCTAGGCTCTATCACGCATTACAATACCAAGCTTTTCTTGAACAAAGTTGTATAAGTAACCCTTGGTCATCTAAATATGGTATTCCAAATAATTAAGAGATCTTATGATTAACCATATCGGCTATGTTATAGTTTTGAAACGAATTAGTGATATTCCCATTTTTACCATCATACCAGTAGGAATTCTCCATGACTCAGATCTTGGTCCTTATGTTATAAGAGAGAGCAATATCAGCAAGAGAGTGGGCCGGAATTCTCTCTCTAACTATCAGTATATCCAGAGTGAGATGATACTCTCTCTTCTCGAATACATGTAATCGCCTGATGATAAGTTATAATCATTAAAGAAGATAAAAACATTGGAAGGTGATTGTTAAATCATTCGAGACACATAATCGTAGACTATTGAAATATCTGGTTATAATATTAGGAGTGTCAAATCTTCTATTTACAGTAAGAAGCAAACTAGTGGTAAACTCCTCAGAGTGTATAGCGGAGACTTCCAGGAGATAATGGGGATATATTGTTTAAATCGTTAATGAGATCTCGTATGGTTCTTATGGAATCCACAGGATATTATTGACCGTCTGCAAGTAAAACTAATCATTAACTCTCAGATCTTTCTTCTACTCGCTGCTCTCTTCCGAACAATCATGCTCTATATTACAAGACTAATCTGTCATGTAGCACATAAAATCCCTATGTGTGTATTATTAGCGACCTACTTCTCTATCCACAATATTTGGTATAGAATATCGTACAAGACACGTACTAATATTTCATAATACCGTCTGCATTCGGCGTCTCTGGACAAGGTGTCGCTATTATGGATACGTAAAGGTCCTCTGAACCCGAATGGTGGAGAAGAGTCCTCTTCTCTCGATTGATCTTGCTCGCCTTCACCTTCTTCTGTTATTAAAAAAAATAAACATATTAGTTGTAATACTTAAATAAAATTAAAAAAAATAATGATAAACATTAGTAAAAATTAAAAAAAGTAAAATGAAAGAAGTCGTAATTAAAAACGCACCACATAGCCCGGCTTCTAAAAATGACCGTAAAGCCAAACCCAACTATCTTGTCAATCCTCCAACTCCTTCGGATAACCCTCCTTAAGAGCGACATGCGGATCATCAAATTGCTAGAAACATTGGTGCAGGTCACTCTTCCACTACTTGTAGCGTTCAGAGAAGAGCCGATTGAGGTACATGAACATGTCCTCGTCCATGTCCTCCAAATTGTAGTTTGTCTGCAATGTAACAAATATTTTGAAGGTATTAGTAATAAAAGACAATAATAAATATAAGTATATAAATTTTACTTGAAAAGCATTAAAAAGGAAACGCTACTTACGGACAATTGGTTGCACACCGTGTTCTTCGTCTCCTCTGACATCGCCTTCCAAGACTTCCACCGCATAGGGCAAAAGGTCAGCACGACATGCCCAATGTCGTGGGCCTATGCACTATGCTACTTCACGGTTGGTGCTACTCGATGTCACTCATCATATCTGATTGGGATACGACCGTTGGTCACCCGGGTAACATTCGCCGTCTTCAATTGCCGACAAGGTCCCTGGGTGTTTTTCTTCACTGCAAAGAGATGAAAAAAAATCATTAACCCAAAACTAATAACAAATCCTACTAAACTTTCGGCATAACATCCCCTATATTTAAAACATTTCCCAAAACCCTGAAAATAACATAAACAATATACGCAACACAATGATCACAACAGTTTAATAAAAGGTTCGGAACGATGACAACTTTCAATATTTATTCTATAAATAATTAATACCTGAAATATTATTCTATAAATAATTAAGTCCTTAAATATTTAGTCTATATATAATTAATTACTTAATCCATACAATTATTTTCAGCATAAGTACGATATTCATTGAAGATTGTAAACACATATAAACCGAGGATAAGGTTCTTACATTAGGATCCAATAAAAAAACCAACAAGAATTGAAACATAATTAAGTCCGAATAAATAACATATAAAAAAACACCTTAAAATTTAAATATTGTCTTACAAAACATAAATTTTAAAACTACTATTTGGATGATCCTGGTCCATTCTGCAAGACTTCATAACGCCATCGATTGTAACCTCCCTCCAACGTATTATTCATCAACTTCATCAACTGTTCATTCGTATCATCATCAAGAGTATACTTACACTATTACACATATATGCAAATAATTAATTTTAACATATAACTAAAAATTTCAAAAACTTAATTATTAATCCATCAAGAATAATATACTTACTAATATTTCATCCATCACAGCCTTCTTCACATTCCTGAACACATCTTCCCAAGAATGCCACTCAGCAGTGGGACAATTATTCCCCATGGCTACAACAATCGAATGCGCAAACTCAAAATGATCCCTTAAATCATGCGGGTTGGCATCACGTACACTCTCACCCTTGTTCTTATCCGCCACCCTAGCACGAATAGAATTTTGAAGAATAAGGATAATAGAATTGTGAAGAATCAGGACAGAAGAAACGAATATTTATAGGTAGGTTAGGACCTTTGCGTGACGAAGCCTTTGTCGCGCAAACACATGTATTAAATGCGGTATTAATTCCTCAAATTCACTTGCAGTAAATGGTCAAAACTGACAGGAACTTGCGCGACGAACTATTGGTCGCGCAATTTCTTTATTTCGTTGTGCAAGTTTTTCGGGCCAAACAAAATTACCCCGTGTTTTCTTGCTCACTTTCCACAACGCCAGCGATTATTCGTTGCGCGAAGTGTTCTTGCATGACGAAACTCTTCGTCGCGCAATTTTTTTTCCCTCCTCTCTTTTATATTTTGCGCGACGAAGTGTATTTTTCGTCGCTCAAGTACGTCTTGCGCGGCAAAATATTGTTCGTCACGCAAAATATCGTCGCGTAAGCTTTTTCTACTAGTAATGTTGAAGTTTAGGGTAAATTCCGGCAAAAGGTTATCGGACCTATGCACGCTTCCTCTGCTATAGTTCTCTTTTCTGCTGGTGGTCACACCACCACCTCCAATGTGCCTTTTGTTGGCACGTTTACATATATGTGGAGGTCTGGTTAATCTCTCCTCTTTAATTGAGTTTACAAACTGAACTGTGCTCTGCACCCGTGATGTTGGGTTATTGTATGTGGCATAGTAGTCCTGAAGGAGGTTGGATATCTTCTATTATTGTAATACTTATTTTTACTTTTAGAAGCATTATAATTACCCTATATTTCAAAAATGATGATAATCAGTGACCTGTTAACATTAATAAGAGACCGAGCATTCATGTATGTGTCGGTCGTTGTGCTTATACTTAGGAACGATTATATGTTATAGTGTCATTTATATGTCTTCAATAAATTTAAAGTGATAGAGACACTATATATTTGATTTGTGGATTGATATCATTTTATGCAGAATTTTAATATGGCTACGAAGAAATATCTCGTATATGAATCTCAGATATAAGTAACACTGATTATCATTCGATGCTCTGATTACCCGATAAGTTATTGGAACAATAATAATTTTGGCACCTTTGATTTGGTACCCTAATATATTAATAAAACAAAAAGAAATACGTGTTTGTTGGCCTTGAATAGTCCTGTTCAACATACAGGGTATCTAATAGCGAGAGCCGAACCTGCGTAGACCATAACATCAACCAGTAGATGCGTTAGAGACCGTAGAAGACCAAATTCTAATCTACACTTCTAGTATCAATAAAGCGTGAGAATAAATCCGATAGTCAAAAAAGACACTCGTGACATTCCTATGTTCGCGATATAAAGTCCCGGGCGCACAATTGATAATAGGTGACGTGCTAAGTCACAGGAATGTTCGATCCATAGTGTAACACGCTTCAGAACATGGATTTCTTGGCGTGTTTCGAATATCTTCTTTGTAATGACCGACATAGTCTTAGACATATGTGGCCACACGCCAAAGCATGAGGCTATGGTGCACCTCAATGTCATCTATTTTATCATAGTCGCTTTTAGGTCCTCCTAACCAAGTCGCGTGGCTATCGATACCAATTATAGTTTTGCTACCTAATTGTAGTATGTTCCAAATGTGACGCTTGATCGATCTCTAACATACTCCACCTCGATAATAAAGATAAGTTTGAATATGTACAACTTCTAATATGATTAGACGTGGTGTTTTATCTATTCCTGTGTTGTTTATTCTCAAACTTGAGGCATACTTATAAATCTATATCTCATTGGACGTCTAATGACTTGATTACTTCATGCGTGGAAAACCATAGCCAATGCGTTGTATAATGTATCAAGTAACTATACATATAATGTAGAAGTCTAATGAATGATAGATAACGAACAACATCATCAGAGTTCTTGGTTATTAAGATCCTGTTAGTCAGTGTTGATAAGAATAATCAAGATTTCTACATCTTTGATCATACGTAATATAGAGAATGAAGAATCTTGAGAAAAGAATAATACAGAAGATACTCCATATATCATTATGGTAAAAGTCGGTGAGTTTGATGTTGCAAATTGCCGTCTTTTTACTTTGTAATTATAAATAAATCTATAGGTTCATGACGCCAATCTGTACAATCACGTGTAAAATTGGTTGTATTAGTAATATGACTAAATGTGTTCAAGATTTTGATGGCGATGAATAGAAAATGATGTACTTATATATCTTAGACTGAAGAAACTTCAACATGAGAATGTTTGATCACGTCAGATGGTATAAGTTGTCATGAAAATGTTATAAAAGTGCATCTTGCAACAATTAAAAATGCATCAAACTATGAGTGTTATCAATGGATCGGATATATTAAAGACTTAAGCTCTATCTTGTTTGTCTCGGAGCTTTCAGAGAAGATTAAAAAGATGTTGTCTCTCCGGTCTTTAGGGTTTCCTGTGGAGTCCTAACATGATGTTCAGTTTGAACGGTACAGTTACAGACAAACAATGAGCTCAAAATTTCACAAGCCACTGGCCTGGTGCGCTCAGTCGAACCTCTATTATGCGAAAGCAAAACATTCCAGTTATTACTCAAAGTCGCCCACGCAACCCAACATCACATCTACGACGGGGACCACGACGACCTTTGACGTGTCCACCAGTAGCTCTCCATGTGACTGTGGTTCCCACCTAATCTCTTTTCCTTGTCCTTTTTGTTTTATTGTTTTATTGTTTTTTGTTTTTGTTTTTGTTTTTTTTTTAATACAAGTCACATTTCTAATGAAGCTGCTACAATGAGGACTAGAATTATCTCCGAGTTCCAATCTACGAAAGTAATAATTCAATAATCAATAATTAATTTATATAATTTGATTTTAATAGTTTGATTTCTTTAACATTACTCGAAACTGGTTCATCTCAACCGTAGAAATGTAAGATTCATACACTTAGGTTTTGAATGCAATGCTACAACACCAGACTACCCGTGGTGCTTGACTATTTCAAATTACGTGCAACAAACGAAAGATGTCACATAATGTATGAGAAGAACAATTAACAACTAAGTTAATGTATGAGAAGAACAATTAACAACTAAGCTTTTAATTAACTCTTAAATCTAAATGAATTAACAATCAGCACGTGGGAATCCAACTTTTTTTTTTTTTTTTTTTTTGAGAGAGAAATACGATATTTGATATTCATTGCAAACAAAGCAATACACGTGGGGATCCAGCTAATTAAGCGAGCTAGCTGCTGGGCTGCTGGCCAGAGGCTGAGTCAAGTCGTTGGGGGCGTGAAGGCAACAAGACCTGGCACACGTGCCGTTTATGCGGGGACTAACGCCCATGTCCGTCTTCGTTTTTCTAGAAAGTAGGAAGGGACCTCTCTGCTTCTTATTTTGGTCTTATCCATTGGTCCAAGAGACCACGTGGGGGTCCATAGGCCCAAACCATCCCCTGTAACAAATAAATCTATCATTATAGTCCAAAATAAGCGATAGATTGTTTTGGTGGATTTGAGGTTCTCTCAATTCATCGAGTTTCAAATTCAAAACTTTCTCTTTTTCATAACTTATAAGAATTCAATGTACATTATTTTGTCATTTGTCAAAAAAAAAAAGGAATAAAATTGTCCTAAAGTTAATTACCATTTCATCATGTACTTTTTTTTTCCAAATTGTTTTTTTTTTTTAATAAATAGTTAATATAAAGGAGCCTTAGGCTATCTCTAACCCAAGGGTGGGAAATCCTAATTTTTTTTAAAGAATTACGATATTCATTAAAGAGGAGAAAACGTATAAAGCAAGAGGATAGCGTGCATAAAAGGGCCTCGATAAAAACCTTGCCGGGAATTTTAACCTGGTCCAAGGAAAAAGAGTGTCCCGCGTAAAACAACTTAACTATAGTTAGCTATCCTCAGAAAGCATTAAAGTTATTGTAAACACGAATATTCCTGCAATGAAAGAGACAAGAACACGTGTACAAAATAATATTTGTATTAATGATTTAGGGGTTACAATCTCTTTTACAAATTTAGTCTCTGATTCGATCTTCGTAACGTGTAGATTTGTTGATGGCTTGATCTTAGGATGAACAGGTGATGAACGATGAACGCTTTCTTCAAGGGGCCATTGGGGCTTGATCTTGAATTGGTGGAAGTTCCTCAAGGGCAGTTGGGGCTTGATCTTGAAGGAGGATTTGACGAAGAACGAAGAGAGCGTTCTTGATCATC